TTAAATGAAAAATATGTGGTCTTGTTTACATAAATAAAAGCAATTATTTTTTATTCTATTTATCATTTCCAAATTATTAACTTTGTTAATTAATCTATGGCACTGTGAGAGTAATTTAAGCTCAAATTTAGGTTTATCACCCCGCCTCGTATTTGCTTATACATGAGAGGTGATCAGCCTAATTATTATTTTTTTCCTGTTTCAGGATAGTTCCAGATAGGTGTTTTAACACCTCATTAATTCTTATACGACGTATATTATATTCATATATGCATAATGTTTTCTGAGTATTTTCTTTTGTAGATTAACAATAAAAAGGCAAGACACACAAATTAAACACTTTTTTATGTACTTATATCTCAGATTGTCTTATGAGAAAACTGGTCAGACCTACTCGATTTAAATATAAAGAAAATACAGTCATCCTCTGATGTATATGCCCCATACTTAAAAGCTTATCCTGCTTTATAGTGTTGCGAAAAGCAGATCAAATTTTTATTCGTAATTAAGGTACATTTAAGATTTCGCTTAAATGCGTTCCCGTTAATTCAGTTTTTCTCTTTATTACGTCAAAATTTTAGTACTTTAAAAGTCTAAATCAAAAATATACATGCGAATTTTTTTAGTTATTTGATAAACTAAAAAATCATATGTTTGAATTGTGTACAGTTTTCGTTTATTTTAATCAAAAGACATATGGATGACTTTCTCAAATTCAAGTTTATTATATTGAAAAATAATTAAATGTTCCATCTGTACAATGTAATTTCGAATTTTTCATCAGACAATAAACGTCTTATTCTTTTTTCATTTTATTGCATCGATCGTACATTTAATTAGAATTTAAATAATGACGCCATTCCATTTAAATAAATGCCTTTCCCGTTTAATTAAATGTCTTAGTTTCAAACCAAAAATCTACTGATTGGTGCTATAAATGCTAATATATAAAATCATTCATCAAATTCCAATTATATACACAAAACTCTAACCAAAATCATTTATTTTTAATTAATTTCATCAAATTAATTTCTGAACAGCCTGCAATTTTATGCAAATCAATTTATTATTGAAAAAGTATTAAAAATAAAATTTTTTGTCTATTCGATACTTTTAAATAACCAAAATAGCCCATAAAAAGCTAAATAGAAAAAAACATTATATACTCATGTATATATGCACATACATAAACATACATTCATAAACATATATATCAACGGCGTTTTACTATGCAAATAAATTAAAATTTTGCATTATGGACCTCATAATAGAAACAAAAGTGAAAATTATTACACAACATAAAAAAAAACCTTGTTTATAACTGTTTTATGTTTTATATTTAGGTATGACCTTCTACTTATAATTTTGACAGTTTTATTTTTAATTTAAATTTGTTTTGTATACTAAATTTGATTAACGTCGCTTACAGTTTTAAATAAACAAATACCTCAATAATAAGAGATATACCTCGCAATCATATTATTTAATTTCGTAAATAAAAAACGCACTTTTTATAAAAAATTAAATAATCGTAATATAGAACTGACGATAATTTCAAAATCAAGAAATCTAAACGCGTTGAAGCCAAGATCAAATAAGTTGATAAAAAAAATTTGGGAAATTTTTTTATCGTTTTCATTCTCACTTATACATTAAAAGAATCAATACAGAAAAGTTCAAATTGTACTTTAATTTTAATAAGATCGCGGCAGTTCAAGCGTCCAAAATCAAGTTCAAATTTATTTTATTATTTAAAAATGTGTGTTCGAACTGTCACAGGTTAATTTAAATCGTCATCTACATAACTTATGTTGTGTGTATAAATAAATATGTATATTCTGAACGAAAATTACACATATGGATGGATTTATTACATTAAATTTTTTATTTATTTACAATTATAATATAGAAGCTCTGCTTGGTCAAAAAGCAGAGCTCAACTATACTGCTCAGAGTCAACTTTTACTGCTGGCCGAACTTACATTTTTGCTCATATACAGAGAAATAATCGATCTATTTTTAGACCTCAAATTTCATATTTAAAATTTCGTTATTAAAAAATTAGCCAGAAAATTCAATCGAATATTAAGATTAGAAACAGAACCGGGTTTCACTGAAGTCCGGGTTTATATATTTGAGCATATCTCAGTAACAGGTACATTAACTACATGTTTACTTTTCATTTTCCATAAAATTTGAAAGAAATATTTAAAGGAAATTTTCATAATCTTATGGATCACTTTTGAAATGCAGTCAATTATGTGTTGGACACATCAAATTTTTTTTATATAATTTTCAAATTTTTTAAAGGAATTCATTACAAATGTATTATATGCAAAATAAATATACATATAAAACAACTAGTTAAGTATGATATTTAAATTAAACGAAATTTAATATTTTGCAGTAAATTTCATTAAAATTTTATAATTATTAATTGAACAAAACTTCGTATTTATTAATTTGGATCCAATTTGAAATTTAGATTAGAAAGAAACAGAAATAATCTAAAGAAAAAAAAACTTTAATAATTAAGTAATAATAAACATATTTCGAAATTATTTAATTTACACTGATAACGTTATTAGAATATTCAAGATAACCAACGTCAATTATTATAAGTGTCTAGCGTATTTTTTTTTACGTTCTACCATAAACTAACTATAGAAAAGATACATAAGTAATAATAAATATAAAAAGGAAATGATTTGCACAAAAATGAACTCAAATATTTTAAAATATAAAAAATTATTTGGCTTCTTTTAATTTATTTATAAATCAAAGAATTTAAAAAAGAATTTTAAAAAAATATTAAACAATGTGTGTTCCTACTTATAGGTATGCACAGGAAATTTTCAAAAACTTTTAATGAATAATATGGTAGGAACCTACTACATTTAGGCAAAGCCCATTAAATCTAGACTCTTTATGACTTAGAGTCATAAAAACTGACTAACAACTTAAATTTTTCGGATATTATCTTTCAATTATGTACCAATTGACTATATTTAAAATTATAATTTATAATTTCTTAAAATCAACATTATAAGCATCTGCCTAACAACCACAAATACACTTTCTATTTGTTCAATTTTAATTTTTATGCTTATTTATCAAACAAATTTTAATTTACTTAAATAACAATTGCATTCTATACACATAAAAATTAATATTTGCTGTTGCAAGACAAAAATAATATAGACTCACAAATATAATAGTTTTTTTTTACAGACCCATTTATACATATGCATAAATATATACTTATTTAAACTTGAAAATTACAAAATAGAAAAAAAATATTACCTTAAAACAATTATTTTGACATAAAATTTAAAGGTCATGGTTTTCATAAAAAAAAAAACATAAAAAAAACGTGTATTCTTTAAATAAACCAATTTAAAATAAAATACGGTAGGAAAGTAAATGAAAAAAAAAATGTAACCCTAGAGTATGTTATCACTACATTTGATAGAAAACATGTTCTTAACCCCTTTATATATTTTCGTAACTACACTGACCCAATTTTCTCGAAAAAGAATATTTAAAGAAGCAAAACAAAAATAAAATAAATATCCAGATGGTTTATATTATTTGTATAAAAAACCGGTCAATGAATCTTATTATATTTTAACTTTTCAAAAATCAAATTAGGTGTGTTACCTGTTTGATTATATTAATTAACCATAAATTTTCTTTTCACAAAATCTTTTTCAAAATAGATTTCATTTCTTATATGTTACGACTCTGAATTATTTGTGCTAATATAAATAATAGTTAGCTATAGGCTTATTATATTTGAAGGTATAATAATTTGCTATAGGATGAGCATACAATAGATAAAATCTATTTGAATATACGCACGATTGAACTATGAATTGAATAGTGTAATCCATTGAAAATTTCTAAATAGCATTGACATTGAAAATACAACATTTTAAAAATAAAAATTCTACCGCTTCCTGAAATAAACATATGTATTTTAAGATATCTAAATATTTTCTTGGTATAAATACGAATTTTTATTCAATTTATAAAATTTATTAAGAAAAACAAATACTTATATTTACATTTATGCAAAGAAACCTTGATTTTCATACTAATCTTGTTATGTAAAAACAAAGTAAGTACAAGTAAGTAGACAAGCAATTGCCCGATCTATTTAATTTTTATGGTTTATAAATTACTTTCAATCCCATTTATAGACAATTATATTTTAAATCAGAAGCTTTTTCTACTTTGTTTTATGTTTCTTTGCATTTAAATACCTTACTATATAGGTAGTATAACTATCTAACTGCCTACCGCATAACTTACATATTATATGGAAAATGTTACACGTATACCTTAATTATCTGTTTTATTATAATTATGTATTTTATTAATTCTACAAAAATTTGGTCCGAATATTATTTGTTAAGCTATAAATATGATAATACGATTATATATATACATATCAACATATACTACCTACTAAAATAAAAAAAAACGTGCTGTAATCTTTCTAAATTATTAATATTAAAACTCCTATCAATGCGGTACCCAGGAACTACATAGGTTTTAATTTCGATTATACATATTTATAAACTTGTTTTTTGCCCGAACAAATATTTGAAAAAAGGTGAAAGTGTCTTAAATATAGAATAATAAAGAAAAAAAAATTTTTTTTTAAAAGATTTATAGATTAACTTTCTAAAGATGCAAAAGCACATAGGCAAGTATGTAGGTACCTAGGCATTATATGCATGTATGTAATATTAATGTACTTTCTTTAATATAATACCTATATTATTTAAAATTCGAAATGCATATTTAAGAAAAATAAAGTACAATTTCAGGTCATTATAAATTCAAATTTTCTAATTTTTCACTTAATTCCTTATTAAATTTTGATTCAATAAATGAACTAAAAATTGAAGGTGACGTTGCCATTTCATGTCAACGCATAAAAAAGTTGTTTACGCCACCTTAATTATCAATTGTTTTTTTTTTTTTGTATTTACCTGATCGGCTATATCCTCTGTTTTAGAAATATATTCATTAGGAATACTCATTTTATTTATCTTATAATTCCTAAGTTATTCTTTTCACTAATAACTGATAAAAAAAAAATTTTATGCTCAATCTTAAAACAAAATCCCACGAATATATTTATACACACTGTAGCCAGCTACTACTTTCTGGCTGTCTGTTTTTTTACCTTCTGTTCTTTTGATATGCTATATATGTATGAAGAAATGTTTTATGATTTGAATTTTGAAATGTCTTTTTTCGTATGTTGAATATTGACATTTTATTGACATTTAACTGCCAATTTGGAATTTCGGAATTTATATGGATAAAAGTAGAAAATTGTCAAAAAATGATTTATTCAATAGATGATTACGAATACACGATGTCAAAAATACTTAATTATTCTAGTTTTGATCTGTCTAGTTATTTAGGTAAATTTCAGAGTTTCGGTTTCAAATTAAATTTCTTTTGATTTTATTCTCTCTTCTTTGTAATATGAATCTATTTATTTGACAGTTCAATGACATACTTTGCAAATATTAAATTCTTTTCAATACGGTCCAAGCTTCAACTCGTGTCAATAATTCGACCTGATTTTTTAATATTCCTTTTGTTATTTAAAATTTTTTCATAATTTGCTTTTCTCTATTAATAATGAGAATATAATTTTGATTTACAAATTTCTCTTATCTCTAATTTATTTTATGAGGGTTTCATCAGAAACGTTTAATATTAAATCCAAATTTTAGGTATGTCTAAGATAAAACTTCAAAAAACGTAAAAAAAAGAAACAATGACGAAATTTCTCGCATAATGAAAAAAAAAGTAAATCAGACGGAAAACTTGAAAAAGTTTTAAAAACTTTATAAATATTGTGTTAAACGTCAAATTTCAAAGTATTTATCAAACATAAACAAATACTTTTTGTTATACCAAAAACCGAAAATTTTGAATTTGGATTATAAAAATGTGAAACTTAGAAAAAAACACTTCTGAACCCATTTTGGTCATTTTATTTTATTTTTAATTGAAAAGTTTTGAAAAAAAAAAGTATGTTGATGAAAGTTTTTTTTTTGTCAAAAATAAAACCTTCTGACATAACCAGGAAAAACATATGTTGCGACATCTTAAAAACTTTCTTGTACCAGACAGATTTTTTTATTGATCTTTGTAAAAAAGAAACATTTTTGTAAATTTACAAATTTTTAAATTTACGAATTTGTAAATGCCAAAAATTTTGAAGGATAAAGACCTTACTTTGGGGCCAGAGTTGGTAAGAAATGAGTTACAACCATATTGTAATTCAAAAAATCCAAGTTTACAAAATGTTTAGAAGAGTTTGATTGAACTTAATAACTAAATTATTACCCGCACAATTATTTATTGTAAAATCCCGACTTGAATATGAATAAAACTTTAATATTTTCAAAATATTTTTATTTTTTCACTTTTTACTATTTATAACATGGTGTCGATTAAATTGAGAGTTATTAGTCAAAACATTTTCACTCAATCATTATAACATATTGAATAGAGAAATATTTAAATAAATAATAAAATAATTGAAATTGAAATTACGTGGATTATGTACGTATGTATGTATGCAGAATTAATAAGAAAATGGCTGAAACTACATTAATGAGTGTGGAGAAATTTATTAAGAAAAAATGAATGAAAAAGGTTTTGAAGCTCTTTGACCAAAAAAAAATCTAGTACAGTTTTTAACTGCTGTAAATATTTTTAGAAAAACTGACATTTGTACATTCAAAATAATCGAATTACTTCGAAAATATCGATAATTTTATAAAGTGATCCATCACTATATTCAAAATTCAGCCGTATTCAATATCAATTATTAAATACCGCAAGTTAATTTCTTGTTTACTTTTTATTTTACTAAAATTGTTTTAATAAAAACTGAAAAAATTATATATAAAAAATAAAAATTATATAAAAAAATAATAAGATGGATGAACAAGCATGTCCAAGGTGTAAGACAACAAAATATAGGAATCCTTCCTTAAAACTTATGGTTAATGTTTGCGGCCATACACTTTGCGAGAGGTAACATTAATATTGTAACAAGATTGAAAATTCATACAACATAGCTAATTTGTATTTTTGATTTTTTAGTTGCGTAGATTTATTATTTTTAAAAGGTTCTGGATCTTGCCCTGAGTGCCGAATACCTTTAAGAAGAAATAATTTTCGTGTACAACTTTTTGATGATCCAACAATTGAGAAAGATATAAATATCCGAAAACGTATCCTTCGAGATTATAATAAAAAAGAAGAAGATTTCAATTCCTTAGAAGAATACAATAATTATTTGGAAGAAATTGAAGAAATTATTTATAATTTATGTAACGATATCGATATTGTTAATACAAATAAACGTATTGAACAGTATAAAAAAGAAAATCGTGAAGTAATTTTGAGAAACAAATCCAAATTATCAAAAACAGAATATGAATTAGAAGAATTATTAGACATAGAAAAACAAGTAGAAGAAAGTAGACGTCAAGAATTAAAAGAAATTGAAGTGGAATTAAAAAAGAAAAAACAGAGAGAAAAAGAAGCATTAATTGATGAATTAATGTTTAGTTATGAAGATGCTTCAAAAATAATAAATAATTTTGCAGAGCAAGCTGAAAAAATACGTGAAGAAGAAAAGAAGGTACCAGAAGTAAAAAAACCCACACAATTTTCCACTGGAATTCAATTTACTAGGACAGATGGACAGGGATTTTTATCTGTTCCAAAAGAAGAAGAAGGTCTAATATATGTTTATAAACCATTGAAATTTGATAATTATGGACCAACACCACCTGCTCAATCTGAAATCGAAAGGAATGGATTCATTAAACATATTAGAGCTGAGACACCAGTAGAAAGAGCTGGTGGCTATAAATCAATAATTTCATGTCAACGTGTATTACAAGAAGCTATGCAAGGATTATTTTTTGGAAGTTAATAGTTAAATGTTTTTTTTATATTTTCCGTTTTGATCATAATTTTTTTTTTAACTTAATTGCGATTCATATTGATGTTTTTTAGTTGAATTAGAAATAGATGGATTTTTTTGTTTGCTGCTTATTTTGTGTTTTTAATAATGAATCAAAATTAGTGACAATATACCTACCTATAGTAAGATAACTTCCATCTGTTAGAACATCGTGTAAATGGAATAGATCCTGTATTTTTGCCTGTAAATTTCTTTTTATAAATAATGTTAACATACAGAAATTTTGAACGAAATAAACACCAAAATTTTTTTTTAGTATAACTTTTTTTTTTATTTTAATTTTACAAATTTTTCAGTTGGGGGAATAATAATTTTCAATTAATATGTATTATAAATGTTTTCATTTTTTTTATTTAATTTTTGTTATGACTTACAAAAAATTGTTTTAAGATTTTCCCTATACATATTGTATATAATATAGTATTTCAAACGTTCACATACAAAATTTATCAATTACACAAAAATAAAACTTAATTTCATTGTTTCTTTTCTTAAATTTTTTCTTTTCATTGCACTTGAATAATTTTTATTTAAATATTTATCAAATGCTCTTATATAAGTTATAAATTCATAATAGGGTATAAATATTTAATATAATATTGTTTAATTTGATTATTTTCAATTTATTATTACAATTTTAAATGACAAAGATAAAATAGATTAAAAAGAAAAGAAATTGAGCCAAAAAAACAAAGTTTTGCTTTATAGTAATAATGTTATTAAGTTTTTTTTCTTTTTTGCATTTTTATTTTTAAAAATTTAAAAAGTTTAGCACCTTTAAGTCATGTGGGATATAAAACCTTAGTTTTCTTTTTTTTTTTGCATTTTTTTTAGAATTAAAATTTAGTTTTTTAAATTTCAAAAAATTTTCATTATTATAATAATTTTAAGCTGCCTTAAAATATTCAAATATATGTATAAGCGCTATTATAGGATATTGTCCTGCAACAAAATACAATATTGTAAATGTAACATTTTTAAATATTAAAATGGGTAAAAATCATAATTTTATATTTAATTTATTTTGAATTCCATAAAAAATTAATATTATATGCAACTATTTAAATTGTATTAAAATTGTGTTATTAAATTATATAAGGATGTTTTTTTTTTATTTTTTTATCGCAAGGTATTTAAAGCAAAAAGATAAAATTAACATAAAAATTTCCTTACAAATTTTTTTATATTTTGCAATTAGAATTTAAATATAATTAATTAAATATTTAATATTGTGGAAAATATATTATAATCTTAAAATATATTTAATATTAAATTTTTTATTTATTTTGTTTTCAATTTGTGATTACGCCTAATCAATTCATATGTGCTTCAAAAAAAGTAAGTTTTGATATCACCTATATTCTCTTAGATGGACCACTTGAAATGATGGAATATTATTCAAATTAATTTTGTAATTTACAGAATAAAATCAATTTCAATATTTGAAATTTCATAGTGAAGACCTTGATAACTTTGTATGATAATCCATCAATTCAAGTAGTGCATCTAAGAGCATAGAAGTGGATAAAATATCCAGTTCCCGCACAATATAAATTGATTTATTCATAATTAACCAAATTTTCAATCAATTGGTGTTTTATTTTTTTTTGTGTGTTTTTTTTTTTCAACTGTAAGTCATAAACAAATTTCAATCATAATATACATAAATTTTAAATAGATATATATATATATATATATATATGTATTTTTGTTGATATTTTCAAAGAATTAAATTCTTTTTATTAATTTACTTCATTTATATTTTAATTTATTACATAATTTGTGTGTGTATTATTATTTATAATTATTTTTTTTTTTGCTTTCTATTATGAGTTTTTAAATAATTTTTTTTTTCTGTTTTTTAATCAAATACAATAAATAAATAATAAAAATAGAATCTCTATATAGGGTTTTTTATTTATTTTAAGCTATTCATTTTTACTTAGTATTTTTTAACAAATCTGTTAAAAAAACAAATAAAAAAAAAACAATTTTTTTTATATTCTCATTTGTGATTACTTATTATATAATATTTATGTAGAAATTATTGTAAAATATAATATATGAACATCAAAAAAGAAATTTTTCTTAAAAAAATTAATTTCTAATAAAAAATATTTTAAGTTGTAAGTTTGTTTCAAGTTTTATTTTTTTCATATAAATATGTATACATTTTTATTTCTATTTCTTTAATTTCTATTGAATACTATCAAAGTTATAAAAAGAAAATTGAAATTTGTTAAACATTCTTCAAATTCAACTAATTTAATGGAATATTTTTAATGAATTAAATTTTATTTTTATGACAAAAACAATTGTATATTTTTTTTGGATTGAAAAACGAAGAATATTTTATAAGCACTTAATATCTAATATCAATAATTCATTTTTTAATAAATTTTAAATTAGTTATTTTGTAACTTATATTTTGTTTTTTGTTATATACTATAAGATTTTGACTGAAAATTAAAAAAAAAATATAATAAAATTATAATAAAATATTAGAATAGAAGCCAAAAATTAAATTTAGGGTACATACATATTATGTTTATGTAACTCAGTTTAATTCAAAATAGTAACGATTTTGAAAAAAAAAATAATAATTAATTTTTATGTATTATTTATTTTTTATAAACAGTTTATTAAAAAATAAAAAATTTAAAAAATAATTTTTATAAAAAATAAAAATTGCGTTTATTTTAAAAAGAAAGAATATTTTAAATATTTACCACATTTTCAATATAAATTAATATTTAAATCTTTTTCTTTGCTTTTGTTTATTCTATTTAAACTTACTTTTTCTTTGAATTTCTTCTTTCTTCTTCTAATCATAATTGTTATTGCAACACTAAATTTATTTTTTAATTTTTTATAAAAATTTCAACTGGCCATTTATACAACCTGTGTATTCTTAATAAATATGAAAATATTTTTGATTTGCTTCTTCAACAAATTTAATGTAGTGCTTGTTCTAATTTTACAGAAATTCATTATAAAAAACACATTATTTAAAATGCATAGATAAAAAAAAAAGTATAAATTTATATGTTGAGAATTTCAAACTGAAAATTTGGACGGCAAAATTAATTTTTTTAATACATTAGATTACAAATTATAATATTTTATATTATAAATAATAATATAAATGAAATTAAATTTAAGATATTCTATTTGCAAAATTAAATTATGTAGATTAAAAAATACCTTCTTTAAACTTTTGTTTTTAAAACGAATTTATTTCGAATTATATTTTTTTAATAAATTATTTTATTAAACGCATTTTTTAAATTATATTTTTGTTTACAAATTTAATATCATATTAATATTTCCCCTTTGACAAAACATTGACATAATATTCTTGCAATATCCCCACAATAATAATTACATAATATACCATAAAGATAAGAACGATAATAAATAGATAATATATAAATATTATCCGAAATTAAAAAAAAAATTAGAATTAGTAACTACTAGCATAGCCATATTTTGGAATACACAACTTGTAGCCTGATATTCTTTTTTTTTATATATTTTACATTAATTTAAATTTTTCTTTTTATTTCATATATGTATTTTATAAATTAATATTAAAATATTAAAGTGTTGCTTAACAACATGGCTACTTCAGAGTTAATATGATTTGCTTAGTTAATTTTAATATTTATAGGATTTTATGTTTTCGTTCTATTTTTATTTTGTATTTAGACATGTCTTTTTCTAACTTCAATTTTTTTTTAATTTTTATTATATTTTTCAAATAAAATAGGTAATTATTTTAAAGCTTGTTAGAAAAGAACGGCAAAAATGTACCCACTTTTTAAAATCTAATGATTAGAAATTTTATTTTATCTAAGATTTATTTTTACCACATTGTTATTTTTGGAAGAAAGCATAATAATTTCAATATTTATAGATTATTTTTAATATTTTCTTTATATGTATATGGCAAATTAATACATTGAATATTTTCAATTTCAGTTAAAAATGTTTTTAAGATTTCCTTCAAGTTCTTAATACCTAAAATATTACAATTTTCATTAATATAGGATAAATAAAAAATAAGATTTTTTTAACATTTCTCAAAATAAATTCACATTTTTAATTAATATTACATATTATTCTTCTTAACTTTGATTAAATCGCAAAATGAAATACCTAGATATGATAATTTCCAACTTTACTTAGATTTTATTTTTTTATTTTTTTTAAAGTACATTTATGCCGCATAATAATAAATAAACTAATAAGTATAAAACTATAACTATTTATTTTTTTTTTAGTATTTTCAATTTCAAGGAAACATTATTTTTTTATATTTTGAATAAAAATTAATTTTCTTTTAAAATTCTCAATTTTTACTAAATTTCACATTTTCTTTTTTCCAAATTTATTTACTTAAATAATTTTATTAACTGTACGTTACTTTCCTATGTTTCTTTATCTCTTTTTTTATTTTGTAACTTTCTTTTATGAAAAAAAAATTAACTTACATAATAAAAATTTTATACATTACATTATATTTTTAGCATTCACTTTGAGAAAAATCTATATCTTTTTTGACACTCCTTGCCAATCGATCTAATTCAGCGGCAGCATCATTTCTAATAGCTAAATTATCAGATGTTGCAGCGTCCGTTCCATTTGCTGTCGGACGTGGAGATCCTAGTGACGGAGGTGTAGCTGGAGAACCAGATTTTTTGTGCAATAAAGAATTAAAGAAATTAGCTAACACACCTTCTCCACCAGGTGTTGAGGGATTTAATTTCGCGTCAACCTATGCAAAATATGTTTATTAAAAATAAGAAAACTTTACAAAAAATATTCGACTCACTTTTTTACTTGGAGAGCCCTGAGACCCTGAAATAGGATTTCTCGAAATTGGAGATCCCTTTAAACCACTTTGGCCTAAAGGCGATCCACCTCTTTGTGCCTGTTCTTGTTGCAAAATTTGTTGCTGTCTCAATAAGAATGCTTGTTCGTCTTCTGTATGAACTTCAGCTTCTCTACTTGAAACCGTCTATATAAATGTTTACACAATGTTTAATTAACAATTTACATAATACAATAAAGCATAAAGGCTACCTTTCTTGAAGGTGGTGGCGCAATCACATCTGTATAATAATCCTCGGGTTTACATGAGTGCATATTTTCGTGTAAAATACTAATTTTCTTCAAATTATCCCAGCCAGCCGGACTGTAACAAAGCAAAATTAATTTTTAGAATATAGAAATTAATTTTTAGGATGGAAAAAATAACTAGTCACAAAACTTACATCAATACAGCATCTTTTTCAACGACTAGTGCAGGTGTACGGAATGGTAAACCATAAATTCGATGTGTTAAATATTTATATAAGAGATCACAGTTCTTATCTTCCTTAACACTAGTGTAAAATAAGGATGCGCCATGCTCTAAACAAAATCTCCTTACCCATTGTTGTATATAATCAAAATGTTCATCCCTATAATCGTATTCTTTTTCTAAGGTTGTCATATAATCGGTCTAAAATTTAGTATAATTAATTAAAAAAGATCGCCGTTTCACGGACATGTTTTACCTTTGTGACAACAACAACAATATCAAGGCCTAAATTAATCAAAAGTGCACCTTCAGGTAATGGTAACAAATCATCATCATCAACAGAATTATTTCTAACCGTTCTCTTTATTGGCGAACTGGGATCCAAATCGTCGCCAACTTCACAATAACTTTGCCACGAAGTCACCAAACGTTGCTTTGCCTCCTCTTTTTCATCCTTTTCTAACTTTAAACTATCTATGTGTTTTTGCAAAACTTTAATCCAATGCTGTAATTGGTCTAGCCATCCCCATGGCGTTGTCATTGAAACTGTTAAAATAATTAATGTATGTGCATAATTTGTTTCATTAAGCGCAAATTTCAGTAAATTTGTATGTCCTGGATCCCCATCCAGAACCCAAACCCCTAATCTTGTCATGTCTAAAAATAAAATAAAAACATGCGTAAAACCCTTCGAAATTTAAATTTATGTTTTCTGTACCATCTCTATATTCATCTTTTACATCTATATAAGCGTATTCTAAACCAGATCCTTTCTTCGGATCTTCTACTCCTTGCAATTTTGCAATTAGTGTTGTTTTTCCTGTGGCATTATCACCTAATACTAACAATGACTTATTTGATGGGAGCTTTGTGCTGCTTTGTTTTTGAACTTCATTCAAAATTGCGGACCTTTAAAATATAAATTTAGAAGAAATTCCAATTGATTCATTAATACATCTAAATGATATTATTTAAAAAAAAAAATTTGCATGATGAGATCTGAGGTTTATTTTTCAAATTTGCACGTAAATGATAGTTATTTAAAAATACACCCACACAAAATCAAAGTTTTTCAATATAAATTTAGTCAAGGGGGTTATATTTTATATTAAATATACTTGAATACATATAACAAAAATTTTAAAACAGTGCATATTTTCATAGTTTGAATGAACTTAGTTTAACCAAAAATGATTCAATCAAATTAATATTCATCTCATAGATTTGTTCATACCTTATTAAGCTATCGGGTAACGTTTTTGAAGAAAATATTTTAAAATTATTCAATTTTTAGAAATTATTAAGCATTCCATTTATTAAACCATTAAAATTATGTATTTGAATTAAAATCTGGAAATTTTATTTACTTTTTTTTTAAAATGAAAAATAAATTTTGACAGATCTATATGTAATAATTCGCAAACTCCAACTTAGCAAATATTAGTCATCGCTTATTAAATCAAAGTTATCTTTAACATACATAACTTCTGAATGCATTTGTGGCAATTTTAAAGAATATTCGCTACCAAATTTAGTTTAGTACATAATTAATTTACCATAAATTTTCTTTAGAATCCACTGCATCTTTTTTCTTATTAGATGATGTCACTCCGTTTGCTATTATTTCTGTTTCTATCGCCATCTTTCGAAATTTTTCTCACGTTTCGTAAAGAAAAATTTTCTTCCTTTCTTCTTAATACAATGGAAAATGTTGATGTCACAATTTTACTTTCTTTTTCTTCGAATTTCTTAACCCACAATTTTGTCCTTTTAAATTAAAAAAGATTAAAATTGAAAGGAAATTTGGATTCCCAAATAAATTAGATTTGTTACTTAAGACTAACACTTTTTTTCGATTATATTATTTTAATATTTTTCCTTCACTCGCCCATAAAAGAAAAGTCTTGAGCAATGCTATGACTATGAGTGCGTTCAAAAATTCTTCTGATGTGTCACTGTCAATTTATGAATACGTCAATTTATTTTCATGTTTTCAGTTGTAATGTTTGCGTCTCTGTGCATCCTAAGGTATTTATGTAAAATGAACTTTCTTAGTAAAGTATAAGCTATAAATTATGACCAATGAATTGTTTTAATTTAATTTTCTTTAATTTTTCTTGTATAAATAATTTTTTTCTTTCTTTGTACTAATTATCTGTACAAAGAAAGAAAAAAATTATTTATAATATACTATATTATTTATATATACTAAAATCAAAAACTGCAGTTAATTTCAGTTTGTAAATTATAATTTGTTTGTTTCGTCTCCAAAACTACAATTTACTACAAAAAAAACAAATATAATTCCATTTTTTACCAAATAACATGGTTCCTTACCATTAATTTTTTTTTAAGTTTTATCATTAATATCATAAATTTTGAATAAGAACTAAATATCTTATGGAAACAAGTTTTGAAGTCACGTCTAAGAGATTATTCAAGAATGCGCAAACACGAGATTTTAAATTGTGCATTTAAATATCTAAAAAATGTTCAGTTTTTTCTTTATGCAAAAATCAAAATTTACCTGTCTTCACGCAACTTTTTCATCACGATTGAGATACGTGTCAAAAAGCTTTATCGGCAAGGGAAACGAAACGCATGACAACCATTGATGCAAAAACCGTGTTTTAAACAAATTTTTTGCGCAGTTTGCAATTCTGAAAGCTATGCTGTTATCGGCCGATTCACGCGTTACGCGAAGATATCATTTAGAAATTGACGGAACGTTTTGTTTCATGTACGTTACGCGTGAATATACATATGCATAAAGATACACAAACCATTCAAAGTTTTTATAAAAATTTAACCAAAATATGTATTGCAGCATGAAACGAGTCAGTTAAACTTTTTGTGTTAAATGGATATTTCCGCTATCTAAGAGGTTTACTTGATTGCATATATTGGTACTTACCTACATACCTTTAGTTTCATTTTTGTTTTTTGGTTTTGTTGATTTACGCAAGACAGACGACCATTCATTTGCAAATATGATATTCCCTTTGTAAAAGGGTTAAAAAGCATAATATTGCTTAATGGTTTTTGTAGATTTTTAAGGGAATCGAGCAGAGCAGAAGGTCCACCACAGCCATTCGCAACTTATTGTACCCTCAATGATTAATCTTTCTATATTTTCTTATCTCTACTAAATCCAATTTATAGTAATGGTTTCTCAATTATGTATGTTTGGTTCAACTTTAAAATTTTAAATAAAAAATATTTTATTTAATACTGGTACTTTTTGAAATTTTGTATTTTATTGCCAATATACACATATTTTTTCAGTTATGTATCTATACATTAAATTCAAAACAAAAAAAAAATTTAATTAATATTCATGTAATTTGTATTTTGATAAACATAATTTTTTAAGTAAAACGTAAAAAAAAATATAGTACTTTTTTTCTTTTGCTTTATTTGGTAAATTGATCATTCAATTTACTGTTAATATAAGAATTAATTAAACAAAAAAATATTATATAATTTATAAAATGGTATAGAATAAATTCCTTTTTAAAATAAAATTATCATAATTAACAACAGATTTAAAATTGAAAATTTTTGGAATGTAAATCTGAAACAATAAATAAACAAGTAAAACCAAAATTAAACATATTTGTTTTTTTTTACACTTTCTTTTAATATTGTAATATTGATCTACAATTTTAAGATAAGTACATTTTATTATTTAAATTGATAAGCAAAAATAAACCTATTCTTGATTATTCTAATTTTTAACAAAATAGATTTTAATTCATAAGTAATAATGAAATAGAAAAAATATGATTCTTTAATAAAAAAAAGGATGTTAAGAAAATAAAGTTTTAGTTTATATTTTATACTTACATTCAATTCGAGTTAAGGAAGAGTTTTTCTTTAAAATATATGTATCTATTTTTTATTGTAATGTTATAACCATTATATTTGTTTTTTATTGTTATTTTTGCTACCGTTCAATCTAATATGCTTCTAGAAACAAAAATTTTAATATAATTGAAATTACATAATTTCTAAAATATGATTTACATTTTCCAAATATGTATGTATGTATATAATTCTGACATCTAATTCCGAATTTATAACATTTTTTTTGAATTTCTAAACAAAAATTTTTAGGCGCAAGTATAATAAAGTTTTGTTATATTCTAATATTTTGCTATTCTCATTTAAAATTAACATTTTTTTTTTAAATTTTGAGCACTTTTTCTAAATATAATAGTTAGTAATTTTGATTTGTATATAACATAATAGCTGATGATTTAATTTTAAATTGGAAACAACAAAAATATTTGTTTGGAATTTGTATACGACTATATACATTTTGTTTTTTTACCTTTGAACTGATTGGATATAATTAATAATTTCAATGATTCAATCGATTTTTCTTTTTTTTTTTGGAACAGTACCAATTTGTATAATGATTTATCAATTATATATCATTACTTACTTCAAAACAATATTAAAATCAAAAATAAAAATATAAAACTAGCATAAAAATTATCCATTTGCGTTTCTTTACTTTTTAGTTTTAATGTTTTATTTAAAAACATTTAGAATAGTACTCATTTTGTTATGAACTATTAACACATCTCATAAACAGGAATTTAATTCTACAATTTTTTTTTTTGATTACTATATAGGTAAGTATATTGTTTTTAATATAATTTATATACATTGCGATATATATGCAGAATAATTTTAATATTCTTTACAATATATTGTGTTTTATATTTTACATAAAAAATCAATTCATTTTAATATAACATTACATATTTCGTTTTTTTTTTGTGTTTTTTATATAAATTCATTTTTGTAACAATATGTTTAGCTATTAATTTTTTATATATATATATATTTACTTTTTATAATAAAATATTCATTGTTTTTGTTTTACCTTTTGCTTTTTCAAACTTTATGCAAATTCAAAGCAACAGATTTGAATACCGAACAATTTATATTAAACTAAAAGTATTACTTTTCTAAATAATTTTTTTAAGAAAATTATTTAAAAAATATTAAAATGTTTTTTTTTATATTTATGGTGTAAGATAGTTGAATAATCAAAATTTTATTTAGAATTGTACCCAGTTAGAATTAGCAGATGAATTTTGAGATTGTTGTCCTTGAGAGCTTAAAACAAAAATTAAAATATTTTTCTAATATTTGTTATTATAGTTTTGAAAATGCATTACCTTGCTGAAGTGTAATCGCCCCATTCTGTTCCACCTGGCGGTCTATGAGCTGGTGAAGAAGTTGGACTCCTCACAGCTCCAGCTGGAGGCGGAGCAATTTTAATGCCACCTGGTGGAGGTGGTAATCCGCCCCCAACTGCACCTCGTGGTTTCGTACGAGAAGTACCTTCACTCCCATCTTTTTTCTAAAATTTGAGTATATTTTTAATTATTCTATTACAGAATCTACGCAAATTTTATAGTTTTTTACCGTAATTTTCATATTAATTTTTATAGTTTCACCTTCCTTAAACCCTAAGTCAAGTTCCTGTTTTGGTTCATTTTTTTCTTTTTCAATTTGTTCCTGATTTTTGACCCATTTAAAATGATCTTGTAAAGCTACATTTAAATCAAATGAATCTGATCGATCACCAAAACCTAAGCCAAGAAATGCTGACCGACCTGATAAAACATTTCAAGTTTTTATATTACTTTTGTTCTACTGTAGAGACGTGTATATGTATTTTAATAAAACTTACCACTATCATCCTGTACACGAATTACAAAATACCTAGAACTGTCTGAAACTGCTTCAACGGCTACACCTGGATATGTTTCAATTGGACAATTAGCGTAGAGTGCACCACTCATTTTGTCTTCTAATTTAAGAATGCAAGAAGTTCCTTTAGCTACCAATCTCATACGTCCTGTCCAAGTAGGCTCGCTTAAATTCCAATCAGCAGCTCTAAAAATATCATTAATAATTGTTTTCACAATGTCAAATAAGTATTTCCAAAATAGAATTAAAGGTAACAAATCTAACTAAAATTGCAATTATGGTAATTATTATTGTACAAAGTCGAAAAAAGGAAATAAGAAATATTTTTTACCTGTATCCTCTATTACTAGCTTTTGGTGGTATTTTGTAAATGAATACTTCTGGTTTTACAAGTAAAACACTTTCGTATTCCATGATTATTTAATCGTTTTTTAAATTTAAGATTTTACTTAAGCTTAAGATAACAAACCAAGTCTTTTGTTAGTTTTTTTATTCTTTTCTTATGAAAAACCTTGATTGACGCACACAAAAACTGAGAATTTTGACATATGATATGACATGACAAAAAAAGGATGAGAAATACACGCCAGCTGTAATTGTTTTGTAAGATAATTTTAATAATTACAGCGCCACCACATTAAAAATAGTAATTACATAAATTTATAGCGTATTGTCTTTCCGAACAAAAATTAATTTACTCGAAACAAATATAAACGAACTTAATTGAACATATTTGTTCTTATAAAATATTTAGTTTCTTTGAATATACAATTGAATTTATTTTTAATTAGGAACGTCGAATGTAAATTAAAGCTGTCTTATATTTGCTTGAAACTAATTTGGATAATTACGTTGTGAATAGCCACAAAAAATTTTCGATATTTCACTTTTAAAAATAGAAATAGCGAAAAAAATCTAGCAAAAAATTTTATTATGCATATACATATTTCCTTTCAATCAAATAGTGACATTAATTCAAATAATTTTATAAATCAAATTTTTCAGGACTTTTTCGGAACCAATAGAACTTCGTACTAATATACTAGTTTATCATATTACATTCTATTCTCTTTTGAATAGTGTAATAGTATTATCTCAGCACAATTGATTTATCTGTCAGAAAGTTAAGTTTTCCCACAACAGATTTGCGTACTTTGCACGAATTGGAAAAGACTGAAACTTCATGGTTATTGAAGTTGATAAATTATTATTAATTTTACAATAAGTTAGACAAAATCTATAAGAATATAATAAAATGTTTTTATGACAAACATTAACCAATATTGTTACAGCAAATTGAAAGACTCCAAAATAATTTACGCTTTTTTGATAATAATTGACATTTTCTTTTGATTTCGCAAGAAATTTTGCGTAAAAATACTATAAATATTTGATCTAATGCAAAAAATAATAATCTTTCTACTTCTAAAGTTTCATGCAATGTCATAAATGTGTAAAGTGCGAAGTTCCGATGTATTATTAAGTCAAATACTATCAAAATGGTACATCAATATTATAACGAATAAAAATTTAAGAATATAAAAATTTTATTTTGTTTTTTTGTTGTATGATTTTTTTTGTTTAAGGATTTTGTTTCTAATTTAATTTTTAAATAAAAAATTATGTACTCATTTACATTTTAGGGATGACACAAACCATTTGAATTTTTTTGTAAAGTAAATCTACTTCTTTTTTATCAAAGCGATTTTTAAAACACATCGGGGTTTTTCGGCTGTCAAGCTAAAGGCAGAAGTCAAAATATCAAACGACATTTTAATATTTTTTTAACATAGTTTGTTGGTATAAAATAATCTAGTAGTTTCTTCTATAGAAATCAGTAGAAAAATTTAAGAAACTAAGGTAATTAGAAAGTGTGTCGTAAAAAGCAAAATAAAAAATTTTATAAATTCTACAAACGGGTTCAATTTAATAAAATTAAAAAAAAAAGTATTGTGAAAACAAAAAATAAAAATCAATAATTTTTTATTCGATTATTTGCAGTTAACGAAATAAGCTGATTTACTGTATAATTTTCGTGTGTGAGTCATCTTAAAAAGAAAAAAAAAAGAAAAAGAAAATCAAAAGACGATTCCATCTTTATTTACGTTTTATTGTGGAAAGCTATTAAAATATTAATAAGTATACTAAATAATTAAATTTGTGTTAAAGTATTTTTAAAGCAAGCAAAATTCATTTAAGAAAACTAATAAATTAAAGATGTACGATCCCAATCAAGGATATCCGCAAGGAGGCTATCCACAAGGAGGATACTCGCAAGGAGGTATTTTTTTTACTAAAATGTTAAATCATTAGAAATTTTTGTGGTATAAAGTTATTCAATTTAAAAAGCAAGGGATTTTATAAAATTGCAATTGTGAAATTCAGTTTTCAAATAGGTACATATCTACATATACCTGCATTTTCAACGAAATATTGCTTACTCAGTAACATGTAAATGCTGAAATAAATATGTATAACTATGTACACCATAAGTATATAATGTTTACTGATGCACTTACAAACATCATACGTGTAGAAATAATTGCTAATTTATGTAATGTATATATATATATATGTATGTATTTATATGTAATATAATATAGTCGTTACAAAGTTTTCAATGAAAGTATATTTTTCTTTCTCGCTTTTCACTTTGTAATGAAAATCGTAGTCAATGTGAATTCCCACAATTGTATTTAAAATTTTATGTTTGCCATATTTTTCTAATGGAATCTTGGATGTAGTTTGTGAAACTAGAATTTTTATCTAGACAATTATTTTTATCTGACATTTCCATTAGGTATATTTTGTTTATTCCTTATGGAAATATTTTTTACTTTAAATAAGTATTAAGTCATCATAAGATATTGATGAGGTTTAATTGCAACTACCTAACCCATCCATTTACTGACTAGGTATTGGTAGTTAGGTAACTACCTACCCACATCGCTACTTTTTTCTGTTAGCATTCACAAAGGATAGTATTGCGTCTAAAAGTTGCACAGGTTTCGGGAAATTTAATTTACATAAAACACAATTTATTTCAATACTTTATTTTTTATTATTGGGACATTAGTTAATATAATCTATCTACCTAAATAGCTACCGATTACAATCAATACTAGAAACATAAGGAAGTGGCTGCTTACTTAAATATCTTCCCATCTATCTATACTCCTCAATGCAAAATCAGTTTAGGAATTATTTCTTTAAAAAAAAATTTTTTTTCAAAAAAATACATTAGTAGATTCCTAAAATCAGAAAAAATTTAATATTTATTAACATTTTATACTGATTTTCACATCCCGCTGGGTAAATCAGTATTAATGGTCTATATGAGAAATAAAAGTTTTGATTAATGAATTTTGCGAATCATGTAGATATTGGCAATGATGTTTTCTTGTACACAATATTAATTTATAAGCAGTAACTAAAGTATCATTTATTAACATTTGTATATTACTTAAGTATATATTTTTTCCAAACTTGGAAAATATGTAAATGCATGAGTATGGAGGTTCCGGAAGGTGTACCGAGGCTTCCTCGGCCTTCCCGCAAGGTCTGTAAACACCTTCAATTTCTGGGCCATGCCTCCTAAGGTGACACCTAAACCTACAATTAGCCGTCAAGATACCAATTAGAATTTTCACCTGATTCTGGCCAAAACCTATAATTTTCCTAAACTGCTTGGTCGTAAACTCCCAGAAGCTCCTTTCTCTGTCGAAGCCCCGGAAGGCCTCTCCAACCTCCGAACGCCGCCTCTCCATTTCTTTCCTTAATTCTCCTCGAATCACGTGTGGTCCGCTTCCGTATAAGAGCTCCGGCCCAAGAGGAGGCATATATGTCTCCTTCCTCGTTAGCTGGTAAAAAGTCGACTGCCTCGTTTCCTTCTGAGAAAAAATTCAGCGCTCTGATGGCAGCTTGACTGTCGGAAATAATCAATATTTCTTTTTCCCGGTATCTTAAACGTATAACTTACTACTGCTTGAATCCAATTACTTCACATGACTATTAATATTTAAATAACGGTTTATGTAAATCGCGCATTATTGTGATTAATTATAAAAATATCCATAGCATTTAAACCTAGTATGTACATACATACTTATAGCATTTTAACCAGTCCAGTAAAATTAATAATCTTGCTTTTTGAGCATATGAAATACAATTTCAATTTTATTTTGGAACACTTCAGTTCTTCGAAAATCAATAAAAAAAAGAGCAAAATAAAAAAAAAATATTTTTTTATTTCTTTCTAATTGTTTTTTCGTTTTTTTTTTAAATAAAAATTAATTATGAATTTTATTCCATTTTGAAAACGAAAGTGAGGTATCATAGTAGCCAGAAATAAAATTTTGATTTAATTTTTAAAAGATTTATTAAAAGTTTTATTCATATCTGCTCTTTGCATTGTACTCCACTTAAAACGTTTGTTTTAAAAGATAAGAATAAAAAAAGAATGTTTTCAAATAAAGGCAAAAAGTTGACGCGTCATGTTTTTTAGATTAAATTTAATACATACTTAATAATGAATATTAAAAATGGGAAAAAATAATTATGACGGGAACTTCATATTTGTAACCAATTATATAAAAGAATGGAAGAATATTTATTTTGAGGGTGAGACGATGATTAAAACGACAAAAACAACGCTTGATGATTCTGGCAATAGTATGGAAAGTAACTATCAAAACTATTGGATGGATTTTAAAAAACTCAAAACTTTTTTTTAAAGCAAAATACTTTTGCTTAAGTGGTTATATTCCACACAAAAATATATTAAATAATAGAAACAATAAAATCACTTAGTAAAAGGCTTTATAAATTCAATTATACAGCAATTTCTACAGGCTGAGTTGTTAATTAATATCGTATTAGTACTGTAATTTTAAAGCCAAAGCAGTTTCTAAAGAACCATATTTTCTTTGAGGTGTTGAGATACATATTATATTCAAACATTTCGAAATCTTTTAGAAAAAAAATCAATTTTTTAAAATAAAATTTTAAATTCTGTAACGAAATATCAATACTTTTGAATAATGTTCAGCCAACTAAAGTAATCGAATAAATAAAATATTATTGAATATTATTTATTAATGCTAAAAATAAAAATAATTATAATTCAAAATAGAATTTTACTTATTGCTAGTTTTACCATTATGGTTGCACATTTTGTCTTTGAATGCTATTGTTGCATATTTTTGAGTGCAAATTAACTCAAATTTTCAATAGAAAAAATGTGGATGGTTTCTTTTTAACCGATAAGCAGAAAATCAGATTTTGATTAAGAATAAATATTAATACAAATTTTCCTATTCTTAGTACTAAATTCAAAACAGTTGCTATTGAAAATGAAAAAAAAAAATTTAATTTTGATGTCATAAGTACGATAGGTCTTAATTACCTTAATAAGCTTCTAATTTTTCGTTTTTTTTATTTATCTATTATTTAGCATTTGCAGGAATGTTGATTTGTTTTTATTAATATTCTTGTTTTATCAGATTATCGATTTGTATGAGGTTGTATAACTAAGAATAACTTTCTGTATTATGTAGAATTGCAAAATTTTGGTCATAATTTTGAAAAATATCGATATGATTTGTTTGTATGCTACGAAACGTAGTATTTATATAAAGTTTATATACCTATATTACATTTAATTTTATGATGTAGCCGAGACATATCTAATATTAAGCTAATATAGAGAATATCATAACATCTATGTATAATACTAAACATCAGTCAATAGTATAACATCAAATAATTTTTTGATTCAAAGGTGACATTTGTATCATGATTTCATTATCATCAGTGTTATAAATGAAATGACAACTTAATTATATTTCAGGCTTAATTGTGAATAATTAAAATATTTTGCGCAAGTGTAAAAGATAAGATAATATTTTTAATATTGATAATGGAAGTATGCAAACTTAAAATTTTAAGTATGCATACTTAAAATTCAAAATGACTTTAAATTAATTATATAATATTCGTAAACAAAATATGTGTGTTTGAATAAATAAAAAATATTAACTAGAACTTTTTTATAAAATACAAATTTAGGACTATTTCAAGTTTTTTTCTTACAATATATTTTAAGTATAATTTTTAAAGCAAAGAAAAAAAAATGTATCAACCTGTTAATACAAATGATCAGGAGCATTTAGGTAAAAATAAATAAAATTTAATTTATTTATTAAATTAAAAAAAAAGTGTAGACATTTTACTTAAGGGGCGTTTACATAATAGCCATTAGATTAGTAAATTTTTACTTAGGTACATAAAAAATTCACTAAATTTTCGGATGAAATTCAATATTTTAAAAAATTAATAAACTAAAAATGTGTGGTAACAAAACATCTGGTAAAAAATTTATTTACATGTAGTGATACTCGTATACATAATGATATATTAAAGGAGAAAATAATTGTACGTTTAAATGTATGCTATTGTTGTTTCGAAGGTTTTTTAATTTTGTTGATAATTTAAGTACTTAAATAATTTTTAAAAATGTGTACACACATACAATATGTTTATATACTATAAGTATATTAATTTGTTTATTCTAATAAAATATTTTAAATTCATGAAAAGACATTAATTAATATTTTAATATTCGTGAATACAAAACCCTCTATACATTGTACATATATATGTACATAATTGTATTTATAAGCTAGTAAGAATTGAGGTAAATTTGCGTTATAAATGTGACAATTTATTGTTTTAATGAGACCGGAAAAATTGATTTTTCTTTATTTTTTATTTTAATTATGATTGATATTATTTTTACAATTTTTGTTAGTGTTAGTTAAAAAAAATATATGTATTTTGACATAATTTTGTAATTCATAAAATTCATTAATTTGTTATCAATTTTTTATATATAATAGGGTTTTTCTTTATCTCTATTTAATTAAGTAATACAAGCTTTAGCTAATAATGAATTTTAGAATCCAAAAATCCAATCGATATTTTTATAATGTGAATCATAAAATAGAATAAAGCTCGTTATTTTTATCATTCAAGTGTAAATAATATTTAATAGATATTTTAAAATTTCTGATTTTTAATCCGTTCAATTCAAAGTTTAGAGATATAATAACAAAATTATATGTCTATGTATTAATTTTAGTATTTACGAGCAATAAATAATATCTGGTTATAATAAAATTGTTTGCTGAATTTTTGCTTTTTACGGGGATACGATTGAAAAGGTAGATTATAATAAAAAAGAAGAAGGATAATTAAGCTCGTGGTCAAAAAATTTTTTAAGTA